TTTCGAAATTGTACCCAATTAAGATTTTAACCCTTTATGTATTGTGTATGACTACAAAGTTTTATTAAAATTGGTTAAGTAGTTTTCACGATATTTCACTTGAAATTGTTTCGATAATCCGCGCCGCGTACACACTCATAATTCGAAATATCAATCTATATAAGCCAAGCTAGTCTACATAACCTTTGTTGTCGAATGTAATAAAATTTGCCCCGCCTAGACGTCGCCTCAGCCCCCCATAGATGACGTCATCCCCCTACGTAGCTGGTACATTCCACCCCTCCGTTCCGACATAGCGAAAATACGAATAAATGATGATTAAGTCATGTTTTCTAGGAATCGGGATGAGTCCTGGTCCTGGTGCTATTTTCTGGCGTATTGCCAAATGTTTTCTTTGGTAAGGATATATTTTTTTTGTTGACTCAATTAGTTTAGTCATATTTATAGGTAGTTAATGTTCGAGTAGGGATTTTAAAAACATTGCCCTATACTAGGATTTTCTCCTGTTTCGTGAGTGCGGTTACAAACATACAATTTCACATACACATCATACTCAGACCCGGAACAACAGTTTTTGGATTTTTGACAAAGAGTTTTTGCGTGCTGAAATCGAACCCGCGACAATCTGCGCGGCAGCCAGTTGCCCAGCCACCGTGCTAAGGGATGGTGGTAGGGAATAATACATTTATGTCTTGTATTGAAAATAATGACTGAAATTTTCATAGTGCAACATATTTACCAATAAAAAATTATAAGTAAGTTCGTTTTTTTTACCTTCTCCGTGTGAGAAGAGGTCTTCGCTCAGCATTGAGCACTTATAGGCTTTTTTTTGGTGAGGGGAAAATTATCAAATTACTTCTCCCGCCCAAGGTAAGGCGAGAGGGAGTGTCAGACTCTTACTGACCAAAATCTCCCCCTCTTCCTTCTCCTGCTCTGGGCCGAGGTCGCGGTGCCTCATTGCACTTACCCCGCAACCCCGGCTGGGCACTTATAGTCTTATGACTGAGTGATGATGTATTAATCTGTTTCCCTTAGATTGAGTCTTCGTCAGAATCAAATTTCGAATTCGCATCGTCATTGAAGACATTTTTTTTTATCCAACTATCTTATATTCAAATGTCTGAAAATCAGTTTTAAAAGCTTTTCCGGCAGTGTTAATTGAAAAAGAACTTTAAATGTAATGTTCTAAGAAATATTTTCGAATAACTTCTTTTTTGTAATATTCTTAAATATGTTTTTGTTCCGCTTGCGATAAATTTTCAAGAAAAGAGAAAATCGAGCTTATTTCTCAAACGATAAGTTTAATTTTTTATTGAATTTAGATTAAAAATATAATTATATTATTTCATAAATTAAAATTAGAACACTCACGAATGTTATCAAACAGTTCGTTTTAAAATAGACCTTATCATTATTGTATACGTCTCATTTTCATTTGACAATATTTTTCTTATATTTTTAAACGAATTCAATGTTCTGATAAAATTGACTTTAGGTCCATAGAAATAAGAGTAATTTTACATAGCGCAAATATTCTGCTGCAGACGGAAGTTGAACTGGTTAGTCAAGTATGACAAATATTCTATAACTGTTAAATATATCATATTTCTTTATAAATTAACATGGGAGAGTAAGCATCAATGCAGGTGGTTGTAGTAGCAATGTATCAATGTAATGTACGCTTAAGAAGTACGCAAGGAGCGCAATAGATGGCGCTCTTCAGTTTCTTAATACCGCGGGATAAAGGCAGGAGTTTCTGTAGGAGAGCCATGATTCGGCACAAATGGGTCGGCTCGACCGGAGTGATATCACGGCCTTACAGAAAAGCGGCGTGAAACAACCCACAGAGTTGAGTTTCTCTGGTGAGTTAAGTTACTCCCCCCATCCCTTCCCAGTCCTTAAATATCCGAAACCCTTATCCCCAAAAGGCCGACAACACTCACGGAAATCCTTAGGCGGTTCGGAGGCCCATGGGCGGCGCCCATTACAATCAAATAATTCGTTTACTAAGTTGACAATACTGAGTACCTACGTCTTTTCAATGACTTCAAATACAATCACAATTTTATTAGCTTATTTCCAAGAAATAAGTAAACTTTGTGACTCATTTGACTTGACCTCACAACTCACAACACAATCTCGTACAGAATTCATACAAAACTATCGTTAGGAAATACAGAAAAAAAAAAACTATATTTTTCGAATTTTTTTTAAAAAAAAAACGTCACAAAATACTTAAAAAGTTTATTCGGTAAGATAAAATATGCAAAAAGATTGCGCCCAACGTGGGGCTCGAACCCACGACCCTGAGATTAAGAGTCTCATGCTCTACCGACTGAGCTAGCCGGGCTGTGATTATGTGTTTGAAATTACTGACCTATATCTGCTCGTAGTATGAACAATCTATTTTTAACCAACTGCGCAAATATGATGTGTTATGATTTGTTTTCATTGTCAATATAGGTACTCGGCTGTGATAAATAGATAATAGTTAATATAGGAAGATATGTCGTAATCTGATTGTTTTTTTTTATTGTAGGTATAGGTATACATAAAAACTTTTTTTCATGATAACCGTTTTGTTGAAGTCATAAAGTCACAATCAATTATTTCAATTAGACTCTTAGAGTCACTTTTGAACATCAAACAAAACTTAAACATAAAAGGTGTCAGTCTGTCGGTCAGTCCTCTAGTGAAGCTAGTTGCTCATTCCAAAATGTAGATTCCGATGGAGAAGAACGAGCAAGAAACTCCATGGTTACTCTTTTTAAATCAGTTTCGCATACAAATTCTTTGGTACATTATTAAGTTCGGGCTGATTTTTCAATGGTGAGATAAAAGTTACGTAGGGAATAATTATGATGCTGTCACATCAGAATGTTTGTATAAGACAGTGACAGCAACAATTTTATTTCTCATATAACATTTAGGTATCTGAGTATTGAAAAATGAGCCCTCAATGTTTAGCAAAAGGTTCATTGGTTTTATTTTCTAGGTAGGTAATTATTTAGTAAGAAATCAGGTAACTGCTGTGATGTCATTTTATTTGTTATTTTGAATGTTTAATAACAAATACTTTTTCTTCATTTTCAGGTACTGAGAAAGACGGTGGTATTTAAAACTATTTAATATAGGTAAATATTAATATAGAATGTAATTTATATTTACTATACGTCACTTAAGATTATACGGTACTCATATCAAGGTGGTCACAGTACATACATATCGTCTTATTCCCGCCAAAAATTTATCACAGAGTATATATGACATGACAAATACAAAAGATCGAAACTTCCCATAGTACCTACATTTAGTTATGTACATGTACGAATAATTTTATAAACCAGACGGTCACGATTCATACTGGATGAGGTCACGATCACGACGACACTTGCTTAATGTCCGATTTTTGGGTCTAGGGCATGCCCTTTAGCTATTAATATTCGCAATAATCCTTAAAAAAACATTGATAAATTCACTTCCTTTTTTTAATCGCGTAATTTTTTATCTGTACCCGAAAATAATACGTCCTTGCCAGACCAAATAAATGTTTCTCCCTCGATTAATGTCAATAACAACAAGGAGGTTTTAACCTCGGCAAAGAATTCTCTTTTTAAATTACCCACGACCGCTTCCAGCCAAGTTCATTGGCGCTTCCGTCGAATCAATTGTTGTAGGGACGTGATCGTATCGATTTATTTCATAATCGATTATTTCCTTTTTTTTATTTATCTTGATCGATTCAATTTTATATGCTTGTCGGTTTCGTTGCGTAAATTGTGGTGAAATGCCGCGGATGGTAAGAAAAAGAAAGTCGAAATGGTCGGGAAACAATAAGTATTTAGTGCAATAATGGTTTCCTTAATATTAATGTTGGTTTGTTACGTAGTTTTGTGTTTTATGACGGTATACTGATGTTATCATAAAAGAAAAACAAGGACAAAGATGTTGGTAGTTTCCGCCATTTTATTAATTTCACTTTTGTAAGTAATTTTCTTCTATGCTTATCGCTCAAAAAAAACTTTTCAATATAATTAATTAATAAATCACAATGATACTTTAATTCAGTGATTCAATGACAAGTATATTTAATTTAAGACTTTGTATCTATCTAATTTTTAGAAATTGGATTAGTATTTGACTTATAAACCATTCTGACGTCATAATATGATTTCAATGTTATACAAAACTAACGGTCGCCCGCGACTCCGCCCGTGTCGATTTTACACTTTTTCAAGATTTTTTTTTTATTTTCTCTTACGTTACAACGAAAAGCGGCATTGATTTTTATAGATTCATATATGAATACATAAAACTATATAATAAACTGAATACATAATACAATATACCTAGCTTCACTGACGAACAGACTTGACAGACTACTATTCTATTTTGACGTTTCAAAAGTACCTACCTATTTATGGTTTAATTGGAATAAATGATTTTGACTTTGACTTCGTCTAAACAGCACGTCGATTCTATAAATATTTGTTTGATTTTGAATCGTGTTCGAGTGCGAAGTGAGCGTCGAAGTGACGGCGAAATTAAATTTTTGAATGCCACTTTTAACGTCATTTCATACTTGGACGTAGTTATGCAAACTAGAACTAACCCACAACATATCAGTTTTGAGATAATTAGGTTTTTGTTTTAAAGGTATGTAGAAAAAAATAGGTAAGTTTTATGAGATAAATAACTTAACAACGTTAAAGGACTGTATTAGCAAGAATATAGGAAAACTTCATAATTAAATTTTATGACAGTTTAGTGTTTATCTATGATCAAAAACCTGATGGTTCCTTATAGCAAAATTATTGTATTGTGGTTTGGTTCTTTGTTGTTTTATTTTTAGGAAAATTAAATGTTAGATAAATGGTTTATTCATATTTTTTATTGCAACTTGAAAATACAAACAATATAAACTACTTTCACACTCAGAAATGGTTAATAACTACTAGTCAAAAATCACTAGGTATTATTCATCATCTACATAAAGTTACCTAAGCAGCATCTTCAACTTCTACTTCAAAATCAACAGTACCAGAAAACCCATCTATGTCGTCTTGAACTGTTGAATTTCCAGTTAATTTTTTATAATATTCTTGAGCATCATCTGGTATAAGATGCAGCAAACTTTTTAGGTCATTCAGCTTTGCTTCGGGAATAGGTTTCCCATTAGGCCAAAGCGGATCCATTACTTCTTTCGTTAATAGCCCCGTATTCCCTCGTAAACTTTTCTTTATATTTACTTCTATATGTTCATCATCCAGGTTTGATCGCATAAAAATCGAAAACGCATCTTCCTTTTTGAGCATTATTTCTTTTGTATTAAGCCAAGACACTTTAGAGCCATCAGTAGCTTTCTTCCTGTTTGTTATTTTCTTTTCTAGGTTAGCACTGGACAAAAAATCTTCCGTGTTCATTCTCTGAACTTGCATCGGTTTATTTTTCTTGCATACCTGCATTATTTGCATATAGTCCTCTGGCGTATACAATCTTTGTTGTAATTTTAAAGCACATTCTATTCGGCCAAAATCAGTATCGTTCGGCAGGAAACTGTGACCGGATTCTAAAAAGCGTAGCCTGATTGTTTCGAGTGTTGGGTGATCGTTTAATAAAGCTTTTAGCATCAACGTTAGTTTAATATTTCGGTTTTGACCTCCGCAAGAGTCACTCCAAAGTATTAAGTTTTTTACGCCGCTATCGCCAAGCCTACCCATTATATGCTTATATAAGCAGGAGCCTACTTCTTGAGATCCCCTTCCCGCTTCACCTTCCACCCAAACATTACAATGGGCCTGGTCATCGCTTCCTGAGTGGATTCCTAAATTGTACACCCATAGCTGCCTTTTGTAGAATACAATATTAGTTGGTATACGCGGAAGGGGTAGGGTTTTTTGCAGGTCGAATGTTATTGTTTCGGTGAATCGATCTTCTTTAGCTAATTGCATATCATTTTTTAGTTGCTGTTGCAGTGCTTTTGCTTTTTGCAAGTGTTCCCTGTGAGCACTATCCAGCATAGCCTTTTCTTCTTCCGAGCCTTTTAATTTTTTGTTAGAAAAGTAGTCGCATTTGTTACATGTATCCTTTTTTAAAGGTTTTGTGCGAAGATTGAACTTCGTAAGGAACACGCGTTTAACTTTTGAAAAAGAGAGGACCTTTTGCCCAGCCAATTTTGCTTCGTCTTCGTATAACTTATAAATTGTAGGAAGAGTCATATCAGACCTCAAAAATTTTGCATCGCTACAATTTGCTCGCCGATAGTGGGAAACGTATGTAGGCAGTTTTCGAATGACATTTACGATAAACTCTTCGCTTTCATAAGTCGCTTTATTGTGTCCTCCTTGGGAACCTCGTTTATCTGTTATGCAATCATTGCGTTTTTTGCACAGAGAAGTATTTACCCTTTTGGATGTTGTCTGAAGAGTGTTTAAAAACATTTTCTTGCAAACAAGTACATTATTTAGATGATATATTCGAGTAAAGGTCTTTTTCTTTGAATTATTACTAGAAGCAGAAACGTATGAACGTTTTATTGGGATTTCCTTCACACAAGCTGCAATAAACATATTTTGTGCTGCATAAGTGCCTAAAGCATAGAATTTTTGGAATTCAGATAATCTGTTCTCCCTCGAAATCTTCTCTTGACATTTTTTTGGACAGTTACAGTTATAATCTAAAAATGGCTTTGGTTCAATTTTTTGTTTCCTAGAGTTAACATAGGGCAGATTTTGGTACTTTCTCTTCTTCCTTTCTTCTCTTGTGTGATCACCATACTTTCTCTTTCTACCCCTTTTTGGCCTACCTGAAGGAGATCTAGTAGCTTCAGAAATGTTCTCGTGCAAGATTTGATTAGAACGGCTGGAACTTTGAGTTTCAGTCTCATCAGTATTAGTTTCAAAAAATGAGTCTGGTATAGAGGTAATCAGTGATTCTGATACTCCTGAACTGTTATCACTGCCGCCACTATAACTTTCCCCAACAAAATCCGGGTCCTGTACTGAGTCGTCGTCATCAAATATCACTTCAGTTCTATTGGAAGATGCCGGTGAAACTATTGGATTGTTATCATTAATATTAAACATATTTTCGGAAGCTCCGCAGTCATTTTCAAAGTCTTTCGTTAAAATATCAAATATATTTGCAGTCTCGGGTGACATTGAACGCACAGGTGATGACGGAGGATCGGTGAGGGTGCTTTGATTGGGCCTTGGACTTATGGGACGAGACACAGATGTGATCCTTTTATCAGCAATGGTTTCATAAAGCATAACATGAGGTTCAGAAGGTTTTATATACTGGTCAATGTAAGGAGAGGTGTTAGTGGATTGTTTTTCATGCATTATTACATTGTGATTGCTAAGTGGTCTAGGTGTTAAAGGAGAATAGGGTGGAGGCTCTATACTTTTTTCTTCAACATCTTCATGAGATCTAATGTTAAAATACCTCGAGCACCCCATGCCAGAAAAAAGCAGTTCGACACTCTTCTCGCAACTGACTTCATGAGTCGGAACTTCATGTTCACTAAGGCGATTGGTATCGGCATAAGGCAAAGCTGCAGAAGAAAAAAAAGTATTACCTACTGATTTAATTTTATAGAGTATTAAACAAGTAGTGCAAAACTCAAAAAGTAGGAGTAGCCACCCTTATCTCAAAATACCAAAGATTTTATTACGATTGGTTGAATAGCTAAGACGTGAAAGCGAAACAAATAAACTCACATTAACATCCAAGCACAAGTAAGTATGTAGATACAACATATACAAATTAAGATTTGAGGATTAAAAATAAAACTCGAAAAAACATGCTGCTGAAATATGCTCTGCATTTAGAAAAGCAAAAGCTTCATTCACCTAAACAAGCTCATTCAAACTGTTTAGCTTGTTCTGCATAAATACCCAGAAATATAGTTTTTATTAAAAGACAGCTATAAGCTAACAAAATAAAATATTAAACCTCATCACCTCTGGATGATTTTAAATCTTACGTAAATAATAGCTACCTATACTTTAGTCCAAGGTTCCGTTTTTTTTCGATTAAGCTCTATAAGTATGTGCCATTTAACAAGAGAAAAAGTCATTGCTGTTTACCTTATATTTCTTCACGCGAAACAAAACAACGACTAATGTAGATTTCCTTGGCTAAAAAGTTAAGGATCACGATAAACGTCCATTCAGGATGTTTATCTTAACTAGCTACATTTTGGTTTTTGAAAGAAAAAACGGCCATAAATGTAGGTGGGTCAATGACCTTTTTTCTCTAGTTAAATATGTACATCGTATACTGTATGTTAAAATTAAGTGTGTGTTTTGTACTGTTTAGTAACTTACCCGTTTTTAACTTCTTGGGAGGACTACTATGTGGAGAATTCTCAATAATATCTGCAGAAAAATTAAAAATAGGTATAAACAAAAATACTAGTGTTGTTTAGCAAAATGAGTTCGTGTTGTTAATTTTTACAATATACCTACGATATACCGTGAAAAAGACTTTAGGTATATATAACATAATCAAATAACATTGCCTGTTTAAGCCTGTAGTTATCAACAAAATAAAATCCTTTGAGGTTAGAACAACAAACTAATATAGTAATTATTGACTTACCTACACCACTGTGGTTTTCATCTTCATCATCTGAGCTATTCTTAAGGCAAGCACTTACAAGTGCTCTTGTTCGAGCGCTCAACTTTTTATTCATTCTTTTTTTAAATAAAATCAAAGCACAGTAGAAACTGAAGAAGACAGTGAATGTGTCAGTGTTACCCGCTAAAATTTCGTGTTGCTATTTTATAATTACGATAGTTTATGGTAGATGTTTATGTATCACCACGAAAAAATATGACACATATGTAAATAATCATAATTATGTATTAGCGAATACAGGTAAAGCATTTCTATTCCTATCAAACATTCAATTTTTTAAACGCAAACCAAACTCAAGCTTCATAGACCCTTATTTTTTTTATAATTTCATAAAAAATAATTTTCGATATGGAACTAAGCATCTTGGTTATTTTTAAACTCATTTATTTTTCTCGCAAAATAGAACCAAGCCACATGGATCTCTTTAGAGAAAAAAAAGATACATATAATTTATGTTTTTATTTTCTTCTGGGAACCATGCGGCTTGGTTCTATTTTGTGTAATATAAATCCTAAAGTACGATAAGTACCATGCTACATGAGTCCGTTTTGCTTATAAAAAGTGACTAAAACTCGGGTTGGTACCTTAGACGGCTCCTTTTTTTTGCTTTGTGACTTGCTATATCGGCCAGGATTTTTTCTGAGGCGATTTTATACACTATACATAGTCTATCTACATACATAACTCAATTTTACTCAAAGTGTGGGATGGTTCTAGTTTGCATAACTACGTCCACTTTATCTTTCAAAATGATGCTGTCAATTTAGTTCAACTCGCAAGTGTAGCGCTAGTGTACTACTACTCACGGCGGATTCAGATTCGAAGTTTAGAATGAAGTCTTACAGAATCACACTGCAGTACTTACTATCGACACAAATACTCTCGGTACTAAAGCGAACGCATCTTGAATAATAATCTTCCCGCGTAGGCGACATTATTATGACCTCGACATCATCATCCAGATGATTTGAACAAATAACTTTGAATGTCAGTGGTGCTGTAGGTTCACGTGCATCGTTTAGGATGGGTTTAGATAGAAATAATGGAGTTATTTTTAACTTCTCTTTTACTGTATTTTTTCTTAACATGAGTAGATTTTTTTGAGAGAAGAAAATTATCAAATAATTTTTCTCGTAAGACTCTCTGACTAAAAACCAACCGTCTCCATTCATTCTACTGCGACTTAGATCAAAATTTCTAACTCTTTAAGAGACGATTCCACAAGAAGAAACTACGTCTTTTCCTTATAACTTCCTCCGCTTTGATTGATAAAAATGTTCTGCAGGCTTGGAGGTTTGATCATCTCTAAGCCTGCAGAACAATTGTCATGAAACTTTGATGACAACAAAAATGCTCAGCATTGGGCCTTAATAACCTGATAATGATCATCAGCCTATAAGTGCCCACTGCTGAGCAAAGACCTCTTCTCACACGGAGAAGCTTTGAGCATTAATCACCACGCTTGCTCATTGGCGATTTCAAACTTATAATTAGGAATTATAAGTCGAGGTCTCCTCACAATGTTTTTCTTCACCGCATGTCAGTGGTATAATAATCATAGAAAGTACATATAACTGTAAAAAGGTCACTTTAGTACTAGCCAAGTTTTGAACACGCACCCTCATACGTGAGCTCGCAAAGAGGGAGGCAGCCCGCGTGAGGGAGCAATCCTCCTCCTCACGCCCAGCCGCCGCAACAGGCGACATTCCGGGCGTCGGGGATCGAGAGACGATCTCCGGCCACCGTAAGTAAGGGCAGCTCGCCGCCCGACCAGAACCAAGCCCGAGCGTACGGCGCGTAGCGTTCCGCGCGCGCGTCAAAAAGCCAATAGACCACCACAGACGGGGGGCCCTATTGGGCTGATGTTCAGCCGGGGTTGCGGGGTAAGCGCAATGAGGCACCGCGACCTCGGCCGAGAGTAGGAGAAGGAACAGGGGGGTTTTTAGTCAGTAAGAGTCTGACACTCCCTTTTGCCCGGCCCTGGGCGGGAGAAGTCATTTGATGATTTTCCCCTCACAAAAAAAACCCTCATATATGAGAAACGGGTGCCATAAACTCCGTGCCACCCCGACAATGAGCTGATAATGATGAAGCAGTAATAAGCGTAATGATTTCTTGCTGTATGTACCTACTATTAATTCGATTATAAAGAGCAGGCCTATCCAACGCTAGACAAAAAATTTCACAGTCATCCATACTATAATTGGAAGTCCATTACACTACTATTAATATGCCTACTTATACAGTTTCGATTTCACATTGAATTGATGATTATAGCTTTTGTCCGCTATCAATGACGATAGCGTTGAAGATAACTGTTAATGGTCTTTTTTTGTAGAGGGAAAATCATCAAATCATCTCGGTATGGCGAGAGGGAGTGTCAGACTCTTACTGACTAAGAATCCTCCGTTCCTTCTCCTGCTCTAGGCTGAGGCCGCGGTACCTTATTCCGCTGCCTGCGATACCTGCGACTCTGGATAAGCATTGCCTGTGTTGGGCCCCATCTGTGGTAGTCTATTGGCTCTCTGAGGGAACTGTTAATTTTCTGGTTTTTCATACTTAAATCTAGCTTCTCTTGCGCGGTTTCATCCGCTGCTAGGCTGTATTCAGAATGGAAAAACTCAAACCAATTTGCTGGTTTTTTAGGGATTATGGTTTGAGAGATTTAAGGATTGGGGGAGGGGAAGAGTTTGGTATCAGGTTTTTAAGACACCCTTGGGAAGCGATAGGTGACATGTATATGAAAGTGGTTGAAAAAGAGTTACCACGGAGTTTCTTGCTCGTTTTTCTCTATCGGAATCTGCACAAGCTAATAGCTTCACTAAGGGGACTGACTGATCGACAGACTAACAATTTTTAACGTTAAGCCCGAGTTCGACGTACAAACCTGCTTAATTTAAATAAATGATATTGACTTTGATAAAACCTTTTCTGATCTGCCATTATCATATATACCTACGTATATAAATAGACTCTAAACACCACAATGACTCTGCAAATTATATTCCGTTAAAAAATACATTTGGTATGTTGTCACATCATTGCCCTGTCAAAAAATGAACGCACAAATGACCTTTTAGAATTGCTGACTACAATATGGTGGACAAAATGGCGGCTTGTAACGATAGACTGTACTGTTATGTTGTTTGTTACTTAAACGTAAGTAACTGTTAATTATGGATGGTTCCGTAGGTATATGGTTGATTAGTTTTCTTGTTAACTCGGCAATGGATGTACTTTTTTGCTTACTAATATTATAAAAATGAACGTCTTGTTACTCTACAACTTGAGAACTGCTGAATGGATTTGGATGAACGTTAGCACGGAGATAGATTATAGTGAGGAATAATCCGTACAATTTTTTATCCTGGTATTGCGGCTAGTTATAAAATAGCCATACAAATCCTAAAATCGATGCCACTGAGCGTCTCATCAAACATGATGCGATTGATTTTGGGCAAACTGTTTTACTTAAAATTTACCTGGATTCATTTTCCTTAAAAATTATAGCAATATATGAAATTTTTTATTATAAATGTTGGTTCTGCAACAAAACGAAACGGAACAAGGTTAAACATAAGCCTTTTTTTAAATTAAATCTGGAATAACAGATGGTGAGGGCGGTAGAGGGTCTACTGGTAGCTTTGATGACAATGATACAACTTAAATACTGGACCCTAACAAAAGGTACTATAACTTGTAGAAATGTCGTACGGACCTCTAAAAAGATCAAGAAATCCATGAGTCATCTATGGAGGCAACAAAATGACGCTGGTCACTGCCAAGGTCAGCCGACCGGCCCATAGCGGTACCCACAACTGTGTTAATTTACCTTTTTATAGTTGCCCCATCTAACAAAAAGGCTATAAAGCCTCGTTATCACTTCATAAGCTTGGGAAAAAATAACAAGTATGTTGTATTCTCACAAGAAAAGTTTGATTTAATTTTTTGCGTTGGCAACTTTCGTAATTGTTGTTTTTCGCTATTGCAAACTTTGCAAAAAAAAATCAATGAAAACTTTTTTGTTTAGAATACAAGTTTTGGCCTGTAAGTAATTCTTTTTTGGCAATGTTTTTTTTTCTCTATAGCAACTGAGTCTTATTTTTTTGTTTTTTGTTATTGACTGCCTGTGCCTAGTGATGTTTGTGATTTGGCGCAATTGGAATTGTCATTTTTTTAACGATACGACTGGTGATGATAATTTTCAAATTTTCTTTTAACTTTTGTAAGTAATATTTTTGGAAGAAAAACACACTGCCCACAAGTAACAACACTACAGAAAGGTGGTAACGTATTTGTACGAAGTTTTACTTGTTTGTTTTGTTGCTTTTGCGTCTTCTGGGTAAATAAATGGTTTTTCTTTCTTTCTTTCTTCTCTACCTCCTCTAGTATGGCTAGCGTCATCGCAGGCACTGATTGCTTACCATCAGGCGATCCCTTTGTTGTTGTCTAGAGTTGATGTAGTTAGGGTTGGTCAGGTCAAATATTTTAGATACCTCGGCCACGGCTCGGACCCAGAGCCAAAACAAGAGAGTGGTTTTTAGTCAGTCAATAAGAGTCTGACTCTCTCTCTCGCCGTACCCCGAGCGGAAGAAGTAATTTGGCGATTTTCTCCCCTCATAGAAAGGCCTCATTCCTTCACAGTTCCATTAACACCCATAAAATGATGCATGATAAATCGATTCCAAGCGAATAACTACTGCAAACAACGACTGGTGTGTAATCGATTATTCATGGACATAACCTCTTGATCTCCGTTCGACGGTTCAACGTTATATTCCATTGTTAGTTCAAAATACTTTAATTAGCATATTTTATTTAAATAAACTAGTCTATGCTGGTTCGGTAACGGTAAAGTAGAAAATATTCTGTCACTACTATGCTATGCATTTTTTGTCGCCTACACCGCATGGAGTGCTCCAAGGAAATTTTTGGTTTGATCCCCACCGCATCTTTTCACCATTGATCCACGCGAATTAATTTCCTTCTCTATCGTATAGATGGTTGGTAGTCAACAACTGTGCGTATTTTGTCAACTTTCTGTCCCGTACAGCA